TTAAATTACAAAATAAACATATTATAATTTTATCTCACACACGGACGAAAGCTGCACTGCTTTTATTTTAGAAGTGTTCTGGAAGTCACTATATAAATCTAGTACTTTATTTGACCATATTTAAGTGAGAACTAAATCTGAAATCACACCACAAAACAACACCTTGAAAATCAAATACTGTCAACATCAAAATGTTTCAAAACACTAACAGACCAATCTATGTCATGTCACGATTCACCGTTCAAGTTAACGTCGTTAACGACTCAAGTGACATTTCTTTTATTTTAGAAGTGTTTTGTTTTTTTAATGATTTTTTTTATAAAGAAACCTAATTTTTTCATTGCTTAGTTATAACATAAGTTATGAGTCTGACCAACTTATCAAAACAATGTTATTTACTGCTTTCTAGAATGGAATATAATTAATATTATCCACAATATTTTCTGTTTCTCATGTGGCGTCATGGAAAACATAATTACCCAGCCCTGGTGTAGAGGATCTGTGTATTTACTGAAACTCTCATTAAGAGACACGAGGTTTGTTTAAACACTGTTCTTTGTTATGAGACTTTATGCAAATGCCACTGCTGCCTGTAGGAACTAAATAACATAGTTTATACTTCCAATTTATCTTTAAAATCTTACATTTGTTTACATTTTAAGATGCTGTGTCTACAGGAAGAAATCCCAAAACACATTTTACCAGAGGTAAGTCAAACTGCCCCAACCACATGAACTGAGTCAGGAAGGGCATCTGGACTAAAGCATGGAAACCCCACTGAAGTTCAACGGCTTCAGACAAATATTTAGAACTTATGTTCGGGCTCAGGTCTGACTTGGACACATGAGCGCATCTGCTGTTTCCAGTCACCTTTTTACTTTTCTACTGGATTCACAGAGCAGTTCTGTGGACTGGATGTCATTATTTGTGGAAGACAATTTCTATGGATGAGATACTGTACTTTAAAATGACCATTTTTTGAGAGGTGAGGAATAAAGTCTTATCATTATTTTTGCTGTATCCTGAGTTTGTATCTTGTGTTTCTGTGTCTGTTAGAGGAACACAAACAATATCCTCTGTGTGTCATTAGGTCTGTGGAAATAGTGTGATTTTAATTGTGTCGGGTTTGAACACAAATATATTAATGCTTGTCGGGCTTTGGTTGGATACGATCACTGCTCTGTCAGACGCAGGCTTGGCTCAGACAGAAACATTCAGCCCGACTCACACTCTCATTTTTACCACTGAGGATGATTCACAGAGACGAGCAAAGGCTCCAAAACAACATTCAACTGAGGAACAATGTTGCCCTCCCGAAAGCAAGAGAAAGTGAAAGTGGCTGCAAGTCAACCTTCAGACGATGACAGCAGGTCTGGAGAAGATCTACAAGTTACTTTATGGACATTCCTTCTCCATAAGAGTCAGAAATAATCTGGAACACGACTCACTCAACACTCAGGAGAGCTCCTCATGACGACAGGAGCAGATCAAACAGACAGGGACCAAAACACAAGAACATGCAGTCAGTAAAAACAGGTCAGAAGAGCGTGCAGCCTGTGGGAGCTCACCAGAGAAGGTCCTATCAGGGACACATGTGATGAAGAGGAGGAGGTCAGGGCTACAGACAAAGAACAAACTAAAACCAACACAAACACACTCCACAACGAGCTGTCATATAAAAGCCAAGGGATCGATGTACCAAAAAGCTGACCACTGGAACTGTCCACTGCCAAAGTAACCAGTTGGTAACATGAGGCAGGGGTCGAAATGCAATTAGGGGCCAAAATAAATCTTAAAGACGTCATGCACTGGAAAAATAATATTGAAGTTTAAAAGATGCCTTAAATTAAGAATTTGATCTTGATTTGAGTCCATTTTGATTTCCACATAGATTGAACTTCTTGAACTTTTCCTTGACTGCTCAAATAACATTTTATTTAATATTCCTAATTCAAGCAACTTTCATTTATTTCAGTGTCGTGAATAACAAATCATTTTAAATAAGACCAGCAATTCTCCCTTCAGGCTGAGGTACGGGTCACACTTGTACAGCTTCAGCTCTCTCTGTTGTAGACCTGTTTTACAACTAATGTAACGCCTCAATTTTGGTTTTATTTACACATTTAAATGTGTCTCTTCCTTGTGTAAACTGCTCCACTGCTGTGAATCCCCCAGGAGTCACTGTGTGCTGCATTCTAAATAATAGACCTGAGCTGAGCAAAAGCAAATGAGTTTTTACAGCACATGCAGAGAGCGGCTCGAGTTTAAGTGTGACGGAGAAAATCAATTATTGAGGGTTGAAAAAGTTGTCCCTAAGCTCCACCTACTCTTTTAGTGGGACTGGACATTGCTGATCAATATATACAAGTCTTTGTTTTACAAAAGGATGATTGCAGTGTTGCAAAGGAAAAGTACAAAAAGAGAAGTGTCAGAAAGTACATGTGGGTCCGGTCAAGTGGTAACGGAGGGAAACAGGGGCAGATTTTTGACATTCAAATGTCTCTTATTCAGAAACTAGAGACACTATTGAAATAAGTAAAGTATCAGAATGTAGGAAAGAGTTACACTCCAACAGGGTCAAGTTAAACCTGTGATATTCTTTCAAGTTCAAGACAAAAAATGTAAAAACTCATGTCGGTAACGGAGGGAATGAAATATGCAGCACTTTTTGGGCAATAAATCCAAACAGTGATAACTCTTGGTTCTCACTTCCATATCCTTAACAAACTGGTTTGAATATTTGCTTCATATAGTTTTCTACCATATGGTACAAGATTAGGTTGAAAAACCTCTTACTTTTTGACTCATGAGATTTTTTATTAAGAAAGGTCATGGTAACGGAGGGAAAAGTAACGGAGGGAAAATTGTTCAAACAAGTAGAAGGTGCAGGATTTTACATCATTGTTGTTTTTTTCTTTTGAAAACTTTAATATTACTTCAAAATGAAAGGAAACTATTTCTATAAAATATGTCAGTCCTTCCAAGCTAATTTTTATCATTTTAAATAATTTTTTTTTGAAAAATCCTGTCCCTTCATCAACAGTTCAAAGATGGAATAACAAGATATGATGAAATACAAACATTTATTGACATGATTTGCAGGTCTTTGAAATTTGGGAAATAATTTTTGTTCCATGTTTCATACATGGTCTGTTTAAAACATATGGAACTTTAGAACCAAAAATGGTACAGAAAAAAGGTCAACAGTTTCATAAACTAGAGTACATATGTATCTGTTCAATACATTTTTATATCAGATGCATTAACTTGAATTTTAGAGGACAAATTTCACAACAGTGTAGCTAACAATTGTATTTAAGAGTACAATCAAGATCTTGTCTGGTTTTCTCTCGTTACATAATGTTTGTGTAGTTTAAACTTGTACTTTCTGGTTGTGGACAGCAGATATGACCTGTGTAAGGATAACTCCATAACAATTACCTGTCAATCATACTTGACCTGTAACCTTTAATACACTTAAAGGGCCTAAGCTCATCTGATTTACAATTTCGAATCTCGCTCTCAACATAAACATCATTGGTTGAGCTTCAAATCCACCGACCAACAGGTTGGCTGGTGTGAATCCAGCTCCCACACATGAATGTTGTCGTTGTGTCCTTTGGCAAGACCCTTAACGCACTTTGCCCCCAGTGTCTGCGTACACTGGTGTGTGAGTGTGTGTGTGAATGGTTAAGTGGTTCCTTAATGTAAAGTGCTTTGAGCCTTGAAGTTGGAAAAGCGCTACAGAAAAATGTGACCATTTACAGTGTTAAGTGTCTCTTTAGAAGAATTACAGTTTTGTGTATTGATGACGCGGGGGGCGGGGGGGCGGGGGGCGGGGTGTCTTTTGTACAGCTCAGTGCCAACGACTGTAATTTAAAACTTTTCCATTTTTTTTCACAAACTATAACAAATATTTACACAGGTACTATTCCTGTGCATATTGTCAAACCATTAGCCAGAATTTGAAAAACTCTGAGGATTTAAATTGTGTTGTCAACTCAGATTGTGAGAATATATAACAATACAGGAGAAGTTTAGGAAAAATTGTACTAGGAACTAGAATTGTCAAAAGTATTGAACATCAGATACTAATCGATACTAAAATTAATATCAAAACTAGATTTGAACAGGTTTCAGAATGATGTTGAGCTGCATCAGAACAAGTAGAAGAGCACATAGACCAGTATACACACATGGACACTATGAACCTACTGCACCACTGATGATCACACACATATAAAACACATGGGAATAGAAAAGAAAATACTACCATTAAATGCTGAAAATCACATTCTATTGTTATTAATTATTATTATTTTATCAATGTAGTATTTGAATCAGTATTGAAAATCAAGTCTGTTCCGTAGTATCAAAAAATCAAGTTTGAATATTACAAGGCCACAAGGAACTCCAAATATTTCAACATCTAATCCGCATCCCATCCTTAAATCTGACCTGCTGCCCCACTTTGACACATGTCAGCCCGGAGCCTCCTGTACGCCCTACATGTCAAACAGCGCACGTAAACACCATCTTTAAGGTTATCCGGAGATGTGTGCCGATTAAACCTCTGTATATGATCCTGGATTAGGCCTGGATTGGTGCTGGATTGGTGCTGGATTGGTGCTGACAGGTGCACAGGAGACCCTCACCAGCACCGGGACCGGCCTAATCTCTTAATCTCACGCTTAAATCTTACAGACAAGGTAGCGAACCAGATGAGATGATACGGAGGAGACAGGGCTGGCGCGATGATGGTTCCACAGATGAGCTATTTTTATAATGAGGTCAATGGACGCCGGGGGATTTGGCCCTCCTGGGATCTGCACCGATGTAGCGCTCCGATATGCTGGCTCCACCGACAGCCAGATCAGGGATTGGAAGGATTGGGCACAGGAGCGGTTGGATTGGTGAAGCGCTTGTTGTTTAGGCCAAAGTGGTGTATGTAAAAGATGAGAAGGAGGAGGAAGGAGTGAGAGGAAGAAGGAGGGGTTTACCGTTTGGATGACTCTTAGCTGCTCCAGGGCTCCTCCTCGGTCGGTGCGGTCCTGTCCCGTCCACGCTCCCCCTGCAACACACACACATTCAGATGAGCAAGGTGAACTAAAGTAACTACTGCGGATGGACATGATTAGTCAACTAATCCATGTTTGATCATTAAGAATTTCATCGATTACACTCATTACCTCCGCCAAGGAGGTTATGTTTTTGCCGGCGTTTGTCTGTTTGTTTGTTTGTTTGTTTGTTTGTCTGTTAGCAACATAACTCAAAAAGTTATGGACCGATTTTGATGAAATTTTCAGGATTTGTTGGAAATGTGTAAAGGAAGAACTGATTTCATTTTGGGGGTGATCTGGAAGAAATCCTGGATTCTGGATCACTTTGAAATTTTAGTTAACATTGTGGTAAATGGGGCCAAAAATTTTGTTTCTCAATATCTTGGTTAATTATTGACCAAACCCCATGAAATTTGACTCAGGGATGGACAATGGGATCATCTTTCATATTCCAAAGGCTGATCCGGATCTGATCCAGAAGACTGATTTTATCGCAATTTATATAAAAAAAGGGGGTAGTCCTTGGCGGAGGTCTGCGCTCTCTGACTGCTTTTCTAGTTTCTAATCCACAAACCGAATGTAGGATTCTGTACGTAGATATGAAGCTACGTCTGACACAAACACTGGAATTGCGGCCTCATAGTCCCATGTTTGGGCTCTGGCTCCTTGGAGACACTGTACCTCTCAGTGAGTGTGTTTACATGCACATCTGTATCCTGGTTTCGTCATGGTGCATGTAAATGCAGTATCCCGGTTACTACAACATAAAGAGCTGCCCTAAACCTGCACACGTACGATCTTTGAAAACATCGTGACACACACAGAACAGACTCACCATCATCATCAACATCCCTCTGTCACAGAGAGAACACTCATATTCCACTGAGTCGGGTCCTTTAGTCCGACAGAAGCTGAACTGCATCAGCCACAAGAGCATTGTTTTTTTTTCTTTGCTTAGTTTATGCAAATTAGTTTCATTTCTACTTGTGCAAAGCTGCATTAAACACATAAACACATTCTAATGTCAAACGGGCTGATGTGGCTCTAGAGTGGTGATGTATGTTGTAAAGTTGAGTTTATTTATGCAAATTAGTAATAGTACTAATAATGATGATACTTATTATATAAAAATGAAAATCGATCGATCGTTCTACCGCATACGGACTGAACCAGGACTGAATCACGACTAAATCAGGACTAAACCATTTTCAGCCCTGGTTTGGTCCCGGTCTCAGTCCCGGTCTCAGTCCCGGTCTCAGTCCCGGTCTCAGTCCCGGTCTCAGTCCCGGTCTCAGTCCCGGTCTCAGTCCCGGTCTCAGTCCCGGTCTGGTCCAGTCCCGGTCTGTATGCAGTGCAAAAGTCCGGCATCGCAGTTTAAGTTTTCTGTTTTTTCCATTATTCATTTAAACACATAATCGAAAACTGAAAAAACAAATCGTTATCAATTTTTTCATTTTGGTTTTGGAGACAAATAATGAAGAAACCAGTTGTTTTTTCGTTTTCTTACTTTTGGTTTTATATTGAAAAACGAATGATACACGGACTTTACATGATCATGGTGTGGGTTTCTTTTGGGTTTTTTTTTTTGCTATTTTGTCCATCAGAAAATCCTGTTCATAATATAGAGCCTGGCTCCAGATTCACTCCTGTAACTGTGAGCATCAGGAGCTGAAGGCTACTTTTTTATACAGTATGTTTCTTACTGAAGACATCAAAACTATGAATGAATGTGCAACCAAAGCTGCACACAGGCTTAGGAAGTGTGCAGTTATTAATAGAATATAAGACAGTGAAAAGCCTGTACAGAGTGACTTAAAGATCCTGTTGTTGCATCACTCGTGGTCAGACTTGGCCTCATATTTATTTCTGTTCTCTGGTGGATGTTTGTGTGCCGCTTATGTTGTTGTGTTGTTCTGTCTTTGTGTTGGAGCATGTGATCCTCTGCCCCAAGACAAATTTCTCCCATGGGAGACAATAAAACTTATCTGCAATGTAGTAAACACAAAATCAACTCAAAATAACTCAAAACTTGTTTCAGATTTTTTTAAAAATAAAACAGTCGCCCTTTGTTCTGACCCTGGTTTGCACTTCTGGAATTTCTTAACCGTGACCCAAACCACTTCAGAAGACTTCATCATGAGTGAGAGAAGGCCAAGGGTTTGCAGTGCTGTGGACAAACCAAAGGGTGGATCTGAACAGAAAATAAAATATATCAAAAATATTTTTATGTGTTATTTCACTGTTTTCTTTGCTACATCATTCTGTACAGTTTGCTTCATGTATCTGATGTTACGTGTGTATATAAAATGTAAAAAGTAATAAAAAACAACACTGAACAAGAGGGTATGTTTAAACTTGGCTGAAGTGTATCACATAAAGTACAATTCCCTCTGCTCTCCTCTGGACTATATGGTTGTACATTACATAAGTACAATTTCACATCAATTAAAATATTACCAAAGCACACGTTTGCTTAGTATTGATTTGCTACAAGAATGCATTTGGAGTTGCTTTTTGAAGCTCTAAGCACCATTTTGTTCTTTGACATTTCAAACTATGCAGGAATGGATTCATTTTCAACAGAACAGAACGAGTGCACTCCAGTGCAATGGTACATTTGAGTGCAGCACTTCCTGTTCTTGTCTGTTCAAACTTTTTGGACAAACTGCCACCTACAACTTGAAATCAGTCAAAAAAATATCAAATTTAAACAAACTTTCTCCAGCCTCACTTTGCAGGCTTAAGTTTAAAAAGTGTCCTAGAAATCACCATCAATTTGCTCCTTTTATCAAACTCTACATCTATTTACAATCTACACAACATTTTAAACTCATTACATTTTAGCTGACACAAAAAAAAATGTGCCAGAGCCGAGTCTGAGGTGCTGTGGCTGTGTCTCATTTCTCTTTCCTTACTTCCTCAATCAATCAATCAAATGTGTCAGTTGCGTCCCAAAGAAAACCACGGAATAAAGGAGTAAACCCGAGGGAGGCTTCAGGAGCAGACACCAGGGAAAAGAAGCAAACTATACTGGTCTCAGTGAGGAGTTTAGATCCTCTCTCCTCCCTCTGTCTCCTCTGTGGGCGGAGCTTCCTCACACATTTCCAGCAGAATCGAGGAGAGGAGTCAAGGAGAAGGAAGCGAGGAAAGAGAAATGAGACGCGGCCAGTGTGTGAACACTCCGGAGCAGCACTAAGTCCAGCCTCACTCCTCCTCGCTCCTCCTCACTTCTCCTTGCTCCTCCTCCTTGCTCCTCCTTCTCTCCTCCTCACTCCTCCTCACTCCTCCTCCTCGCTCCTCCTCCTCCTCGCTCCTCCTCACTTCTCCTTGCTCCTCCTCCTTGCTCCTCCTTCTCTCCTCCTCACTCCTCCTCCTCGCTCCTCCTCCTCGCTCCTCCTCACTTCTCCTTGCTCCTCCTTCTCTCCTCCTCACTCCTCTTCGCTCCTCTTCCTCGCTCCTCCTCGCTCCTCCTTTAAAGGTGAGGGTGCATCATGTGACCTGTCTGCTGACACGCTGAACACAGAGGGGCGTGATGTGTGTGTGCTACAGACCCTCTCTGCGCTTGGACACACACACACACGGACACACACACGCTGGGTTTACACGTCACGAGGGGACTTCACATTGACTTCCATTCATTTCTTGGAGGCTGATCCCAACTTAACCTAAACACCTAAAACCTTGACCTACTTTAACCCAGATCTAGAGATGGGACAAAAGACTAAAGACTAGAGACTTTCAGATCCATGAGGACAAGATTAGATTTTGACAAAATGTATTCACAATTTGTTCTCTTCACAATTTGTTATTTTTTTATTTTTTTTTTATTAATCTTCTCATATTATTTTGTATTTATTGCCGCATTCTACTTTTGTAACAGTTGCCACTTTTATCCGAGAGCCTTAATTCTGAATAAAATTTATTTCCACTTTAAAAAGACCATGTAAACACTTAATTATTAATGAAAATGATTATTCGGAATTTAACTTAATTCCAAAGTAAGTGGGTGGTTTATACAAATTTCAAAGCTGAAAAAATGAATTCCTGGATCATGTAAATGTTTATTCTTCTTAAAAATAATTGCGGTCGTTCAGTGCATGCTCTTTGGGTCGCCCTTCTAACATGATGATGGCTCCACCAATTGTCGCTTCAGACTTTGATCCACGTCTCTTTGGATTTGTGAGCGGGATGTGGGAGTGGGCTGAGGTAGAGCAGCCTCACACTCACTTTGTCTTCTTCCTCCTTCTCTGACACTCTTCCCTTCTCCTCCTCAGCTGACAGACGTAAAGAGTGATGAGACAATTCTCCAGCTGCTGTGCAATTATTATCAGAACCACTGCAGGAAAAGTTTGGATCATGTTTGTGTCCGTGACGTAACGACAAACCAAGATGAGAGAAAAGCCGGTAGCTGCTGAAGTGTGTGTTTTCTTCCAGTCGATATGTTGTATAAACATGTTGGTGTCTCTGTCCAATCAGAACCTTCCTTAACCCCAGGCTTTCAGCAGAATTAAATAAAGGCGATTTAACACAATTTTCTACGTAAACCTCAATTTGGAATTTTTATTTTTTTGGAAACTCGAAGGAGAATAGTTTCATTCCAAACTAGTTAATTCCGAACAATTCATTGGGAATAAAAAAACATCATGTAAATGTGGTCTACGACTCTTCCACAGATGTAATTGACATTACACAAGGGATGGGCTGGGAAAATTGAAGCTCATAGATAATAAAGATTTGTAGTGTCAAATCGTAACACACTGAGAGATTGGAACAGCAACAGCTAACCATAAAAGTTAGTACATGCAAAAACGATTTCTATTACCATGTATGTAAATGTCACTTGTAAATCTCATGTGGGACATTGTCTAAACAAGTGGGACGAGGGACAGGGGTCCAAAAGGGTGCACAGGACCAGAAGAGGGACACAATCTTGGCACTTCTTCTCAAGAGATCTTGTCCCTATGCACATCTGAACCCTAAATCATCTCGTTGATCCAATAATAAAGACATT